CAACCGCGTCCCTCGAGCGTAACATTTGCATCGGCGGCGACTGGAAAAAAGGCGCGAATCAATAGCTAGTATTTATAAACGCGTCGTTCTGAAAGAAAATTCGTGGAAAATTGATGAGGCAGACACGCGAGAGAAGCAGCTCGCTCTCGGGGAAGGGAAGCTTTGGCTCCGCGGCCAAAATTAAACTACGAATGGCAAGTTCCGCCTTCCAGTCATCGGTTTCTGGCTTCGAGTGATCGTTAGTTTCGCCAGCGTCAAACAGTTCAAGCGTTCGAGCTGGCGTACACTCCGGCGTTCCGCCGGGATGGGATCGAGGATCGTATTATAACCATATAGATACAACAGCATTAGATGCGGCTCTTCGCAATAACGTCGATAACTTGGATAAAATGAAATTTACGTGCACGAATGGATGAATACAGCTTCAGACTTGTTGTACACCGCGTACGTGCGACCAGAGATGCTGAAGAGTTAAGAATGTTGGTTCTGGAATGTTTGATATTCGTTAAGCCCGGGGTTCTCAAAGAGAGAGAGAGAGAGAGAGAGATATTTCTTTTTTAGTTTCGCTTGGGTAATTTCTAGTTTCACGCGCGAGTTCGTTTTTTTATCTCTCTGGTTGGACACGCGTTGGTGAGAGCTTTGAAATTTTTTAAATTAATTAAAGAGACAATTGAGAAAAATTTGCAACTTTCGTTTTCAATATCGTTCGAGTCAATCTGAAATTTAATCGTGAATATCCGCAAGTGAAGAAATAATAAAAAATACGAGCAAGAGAGAAGATATGGTTGACCTATGCTACTTGGATGCAAGAAGCAACGTGGGCAGTAAAGGGAATAAACCAAATATGGTCGGGCATCTCCGAAATCAACGCACCGATGCAAATCTCGTAAGATGCTCTTTCCGTTCCGCGATTGAAAATATTTCACACGGTAGAATTTAAACAGCTGTTGGAAATTTTTAACTTTGACAAAAAATTTGAAGCTGAAGTAACGAACGTATTACGTAAAAAAAAAAAAAAAAAAAAAA